AGTCGTATTGTCTGGCTTTGAATGCTGTCTGTGTCTTTTATTTGCTAGAGTGAATGTGAACAGATCAAATGGGGATAATATACTATTATTAGCAAAAATTGGTGTTGTTTATTGCTTTAATACTCACAAAACCTGTTATGTCATTTCATTTGATTCTCAAAACAATCCTGTGGATTAGGTATTGCATTTATTTATTTGCTCCAATTTTGAGATTAGGAAACCTGAAGTTCCAAATGCTTAATTGAATTGCCCATTACCACGCAATGAAATAACATGTATAATGCTTTGAAAATAGTAAAGTCCTAGATAAATGTAAATTTTTGCTACTCCAAGTTCTTACCTAACATTAATATTCTTCTGTTGTATATGAATCATAATATGCTTATAGCCTTTTGTAAAATTAAAATTACAAATAGCCTAAAGAACAGCGTAAAATAGCATGCTACTATATGTTACCAACATTGAGAAGATATCCAATGTGAGCACAAACAGAAAAAAAAGGTAGACTAGTCATGCTTTGATGATGAGATACAACAGTTGGACAACCCATATAGTATGTTGGGACCCTGCAACACATTTAATAAAGACAATTTAAAGGTCTCCGTCAAGTTGGATGGAGATCCTTTGTGGAAGAATCCAAAGATCCTCTGTGGAAGATTTATGGGATTGTATAACGTGAAAAAACTTGGAGGAGCTGTAATTTACATCAGTGGAGGGAGTATCCAAATGGTTGAAAATAGTTATCTTTCAGAATACTTAGAAATTTGAAGATCATTTGATTTGACAAATGAACTAGAAGCAAGAAAGGCTTGATTATTTTTTTCTTTTTTTTTGTCTTAAGATGTTATTACCCCAAATTCTTCAAGCTCTTGATGTCTCCTTTGATCTTTCTTTGGTGCCCAGTATAGCTGAAAATATCCTTTTCCATTATTGTTAGGATTCATCACAAATCTCACCTTCATCTAGTTGTACTGTTCCTGACATTTTTACAGAATTTTGTCAGTCTTTTGTATTCATCTTTGCTTTCATTTCTATTTGTCTTTTAAAAATGTGAACTGGTTACATTTTTTTTTTTAAGATACCACACCATGTTTTCTACTTCTTTTGAAGCATGTGTCACCAGTATTTATTTATTTAATTTTGCACGCCCCTCCCCCCCTTTTTTTGTGAGGCAATAGGGTTTAAGTGACTTGCCCAGGATCACACAGATAGTAAGTGTCATGTGTCTGAGAGTGGATTTGAACTCAGGTCCTTCTGACTCCAAGGCCATATTTCTTGAGAGCCTTCCATTCTGTTTGTAGAATTTTAAGTTATGCGACTCTACCTGCCCATTCTGTGAATTCTTTGAAGTCCCTTTGTCTTAAAAGGCTAAGGTGTATCAACCAATCATATTTATTAACCATTTGAAACTTGCCAGACACTATGCAGAGGCAGCTGGGTGGCACAGTGGATAGAGCACTGGCTCTGGAGCCAGGAAGACCTGAGTTCAAATTAGGCTTCAAGACACTTGCTCTGAGCAAGTCATTTAACCTCTGTTTTTATCTCAGTTTCCTCGTCTGTAAAATGGGGATAATATTAGTACCTACCTCCCAGGTTTGTTTTAAGGGTCAAATGAAGTAATAATTATAAAGTGTTTAGCACAGTATCTGTCACACAATAAGTGCTATGTAAATATTAGCTATCATCCACATCATCATCATCCTGTTTTCTCCAGTAGATTTTCACTGTCATCATCCCCACTTTCTCTCTGATCTTCAGTCTCTACTAAGTCCCTGCTAATAGAAGCATGTTAAATTGTCTCCTATGTTTAAAAAATCCTCACAAAATTGTTTTTTTCCTGAACCTTCATTGAGGTTTCATTTTCCTAGTGGGAAGTCAACAGATGTTTAGTCAAACAGCAGAGCAAAATAAATAATAAATAAATAAATAGTATTATTTATATATCTATATCTATATATATATAAACAAAATATATGCATACATATAAATATATATAAAATATAAAAATAAATTAAAAATGGTATTTTCTTAAATCATCTCCACATTTACATTCATATGTATATAGATAGATAGATAGATATAGGTATAGATATAGATATATAGATATATATTCCCTCACTACCACATCATTTTTTTAGGGGAGGGAGGCACATGCCACAAAGCCATATGGTCAGGGAATATGCATGCAGGCACACACACATAGACCAAAGCACATCCAGTGCTGCCTGTGTCGCCCTGCTGTGTTATTAGACTGCAGCTGTTTTCTAGGTATTCTTGCTCAGGTGCTCTCTGCTGCCCTCTGCTGGGCAGCCTTTGTGGAGTTGTTGCTGCTCAGCATATTTTCTTCATCTGTAGCTTCTTTTCTTAATTGCTTGCTCCAGCTGCTAGTGATTTAGCTTTGAAGAATTCTTTGCCACAGAAAATTTCAGCCCTTTTTTTCTCTTAAACATTTTTTTATGTTACTCTGCCTTCCATCTACTGCTCTATCTCTATGCCTCAGCTAAACTACTTGAGAAAGTTGTCTGTACAAGGTGCCTCAACTTCCTGTCCTCTCACTTTCTTCTAAACCTTCTGCTGTCTGGCTGCTGACTTCATTGTTCAATTGAAAATACTCTTTCCAAAGTTCCCAATGATCAATTGGCAAATCAAATGAACTCTTCTCAATAATTATGTTAAATAAAACAAGGTATCTCTGCATTATTTGACACTACTACCTTCTCCTGGATACTCTTTCCTCACAGGACTTTTGCAGCTTGATTCTCTATTTATCCTCCTTTTACCCATTTGATTGTCCATTCCATCTTTTTCTTGGTCTTCTATGTCTAGTTCATTAGCTGGGAGCATTTCCCAAGGCTCTGTCTTAGGGTCTTCTCTCTTCTCTATATATCTGATGTTCTTAACCTGAGATCCAGAGACCCCTAACCTTTGGTTTCCTTTGTAATAGCAAGTATTTTATGTATTTAAAAATGTTCTGGAAAGGAGTAATACACTATATCAGATTGCCAAAGGTATCCATGGCATAATAAATGTTAAAAAATAACAAGCCCAAAACACCCTAGATTTAGACAAATAAAAGGTACAGAACACCAAGGCACATAATGAAAAAAATTGTTGTTTTTTAGAGGGCTAGAGGGTGGAGAATGGTATTGGGGCTACTCAAACTCAGACAATTACAGTGCAATAATTATCAAAACACTATCCTAGATAAAAATTTAAAAATAGAACCTACAGTACATAGCCATCTCATGTGATGAGTACTTAGCTTTTAGTCATACAACAAAGATTTAACTTCCTGTTCTGTTCCTTAGCACATCTGCTATCTTTCACAAGCCACTTCCCCTCTCTAGGCATCTTTCTTCCTCATCTGTTAAATGTGAGATGCCCTCCATATTTCCTTCCACCTCTGAAACTGTGGTCCTAATTCATAGTATACAAATTTCTAGGGAAGAGACTTGATTTGACAAAATTGATGGGAAAACTAGGGAGGGAAATTTATGAAAAATATGTTTAAATATAAGATATACTTTATACCATAAACTATAATAAATTCAAAATGAAGAAATTAGTGAATGAAATATGAAAAATCATATCCTAAAAAAATAAAGAATGAAAGATTAGGAGAATTCACAAGTGGACATAGAATAAAAAAGTTTATAAAAGAATTAAATCTGTAATTTTAATTGCATAAAATTATAACTTTTGCCATAATTTGGCTACAATGATTAAAACAGTATTTTGGAATTTTTTTCCTTCAATTTTGGAATTATAATCCATTATAAGAAAAATGTGAATTATCTAATATCATGATAGGCTAAGAAATCAGCTTAAATAATTTTAAGACAAACTCTGATTCAGTAAAGTGTAATTATGTAGTAATGAGACCGTTTTCACATATAATTCAGGGAAAGAAGCCTGACTACTTTTTATGACAAATACTTCAGGTTTCAAGAATCCATGATTTAGTCAGTATTGTTGCTCATTCCACTGGTGTAGACCACATAGCTAGTCGATTCTCTCTATAGTGATAGACTTCTTGGTACTTATCTAGAATTGTCCTCAGTTGGATATATGTCCTCTCTTTGTAAGGTTAGCCAAATCTTATCTTCTTGGCAATGACCTTGCCCCCAAGTCCCCGTGAGGCATTTAGTTAGGACTTTAGTAATGAAGTATCTGATATAGTGACCTGAAAACATTAACACAGAAAAAACAGCCAGAAGAATAGTACATGTATACTAATTCCTAGAAAGATATTTATATCTAGCCAATCCTAGTAAAAATGGGTTGTACTAGAGCAAACCTGACTTACTGTGTTTTGTTTGACTAGGGGACCCCATAGAATTCTAGCTTCATCCTGTGAATTCATAATGCTCAAGAAGACTAGGTGAATTTTAAGTTTGGCTAAAACTTAGGTCTACTATTGGGCATGTCATACTTCCAAAAACATCTGACCAATCTAAATCATCATTTCTGTTTTGGAACAGGTCCCAGTGTCTATAATGGTTCAAGAATTTAACTGAACCACACTTATCAGAGAATTGAATTTGAAATGTTCTAGGGCCAGGTTTAAATCCCCTTTTCCAGTGTGACAGTCCCAAGGCCAGTTTAGAATCAAGCCAGTTAATAGGAAGAAGAATTGAGATTGGAAGGAGGGGAGACAGAAGGGAGAGATCAAAACATTGTTCTACTTTTCATTGGTATTCTTTTTCTGTTTTATTATATGATAAATGTTTTTGGTATGTTTAGTACTTTCCCAAATACTTTCGAATGCTATCAGCAGGTAAGTTAATCTAATTATTAGGCCTGAGAATTATTGTTAGGAAACTAATGCTTTAAGGAATAAGGTAATGTATATTGAAGATATGTGTTTTTCTTATTTCATGTAGCAGAACAATACAAAAAAAAACAGGTTTTCTTTTTTTATGGGAATGAATGTAATGTACATAATAAGTATTTAACTTCCCAATAAAAAAGTCATACTTTTTTTTTTTTTGGTCTCACAGGCTTTGTATCCACTGATCACCTGCCTTTTGTGTGTCAGTCAAAAGCAATTTTTCTTAAATAACTGGCACATTTTCCTACAGAACTGTTTGTCACATTTAAAGGTAAGAAATGATTTAATTTCAGGAACTGTCAAAACATCAGTGCATTAACTCATACAGACACTGTGTACAATTTAAAATAAAACTAAAATATTTTTAGTATATTAGTTCCTTCTCAAGTACTTTCAAATGAGATTTCATGTTTTTTTTCCTTATAAAGCACATTCTTTTCATTCTTTTGTATTGATAATGACATTTTAATCAACCAGTTTCATTTCTTTTACATTGCAGAATAACTGTCAACTGATAGTATCTTAGGTCTGGGAATAATTGTTAGTAAACTAATGCTATAGGAAATAAAATAATGTATATAGAAGATACTTTCAACAATACTTTAAGCATTATGCAGAAAATTCTTTGTCACACAGTTAAACACTGGATTTACAACCATAAATCATATAGATGAGTAACAATTCACAAATTCTCTTACTTTAAAAAATATGCTTTGAAGAAACCCAGACATGTGAGTATTTATTAATATTGATTCTTGCTCATTTTTGACACATCTTGCTTTGCAAAACAAATTAAAGCATTCTATATAGGTCTGCTTAGCCCAATCTAGAAACTGACTATCGGATTTAGAATTTCTTAAATAACTGGCAGATTTTCTTAAAAAGCTGTTGCATTTAAAAGTAAGAAATAATTTCAGGAACTGTCAAAACTTCAATGCATTCATTCATACAGACTTTGTGTATACAGTTTAAAATAAAACTAAAATATTTCAATAAGCAGTTAACAAACTTTAATTCCCTACTCTGTGCCAGGCCAAGTGTTAGACCTTAGGGTTACAAACACAAAAATAATCCCTACCCTCAAAGAGCTTATATGCTATTGAAACAAGTAGAGAAATTTTGTTTTTGCAGTGAAAGTTGCACTACCAGTCAGGGATGGATGACAAACTCCGCACTCAGATTATGAGCTGGTACAGTAGCCAGCCTAGAGGTGGCATGAATTTTCTAGTCTCTGTTTTATTCTTTTTTAGATCAAAATCTCCTGAGTATGTGATAAATGGTGGAAAGACCTATCTGTATCTTTCACTGACTATAGAGAATTACATTAACTATGCTAACCAGTTCCATCTCTGCTAATTTTTAATAACATTTTAGGGTCTATCCATATATTCCCTGTTTTAGAATTTAACTGAATCTTTGTTGCATAGAATTGGAAAAAAAGAAAAAACAACTTTAGAAATTGTTTAATTTTATAATATTCTTTGGACTTTGGACTGGGATTACAGGGCACATAATTTCATGGACACCAAAGTGCAAAAATATTACGTATCTCCAGTCTATTACACTAGATCAGTTTATAATATTTCCTTTTCTCCTTTTGTTTATCTGCTTAAAAAACTTTGAGGGATTCCTGGATTGCAAAGAAAATTTAGATTATTAAAATATGTTAAAGACTTTCCTTCTAGAATATAACCTTTTAAAAAATTGTTTCCTTTTCAACTATTTTGTTGAGATTGATTATCATATTAAGTAAATTAAATAACATATTTCAATTTTATATCAATGCTATATTCTCAATCACAGATATTAAATTAAGCAAATTAAGTAATATGTTTCAATCTCATTCATTTTTTTAAGATTAGTAATTGCCTGTTTTTAGTGGAAACATGCAACTGAGAATTTTAAAGATTCATTCAGATTAATTTCATTTTAACCTTTTTAATCATTTAGTCTGGATAACTTTTACAAAATTGGTCAAAATAAAATAATTATGTTTTATGTAGTATTGAGTTAAATATTATATGAAACTTTCTGTTTCTTTCTAATGATGTGTCCTGATCAGCATTTATGAAAATAAACAATAACAATTTAATCATTGTACCTACAAGTTTTTAATTTGCCATGTAGATTAATTAAAATGGAACACAGATTTGTGTTTCTAAAGGGTTTTCTTTGTTTTATGACATTCCATACTTTTCTGTTTCCTTTTAGATTTGGTGGGGGGAATTCTTTTTCATCTAACATTTGTAATACTTGAGCAATGCCTTAATTTTATTTGTATGTATGTCTTATGGCATTTCTTTAAAATACTATGTTTTCTTTGAACCCCTGTCTCCTGCTGAGTATTCTGAAATATAGTCCATTTCTTTCAATGGATATTTAGATTTGCTAATTCTAAAAATTAAGAGCCAGCCACTCAGCAAGTATGTTTGGAATATAGTTTCCTTGATCATTAACACAAATGACAATAAGGCTCTATTTAGCAGAAATTTTACATATAACTTTTGTAGACAGTTTAATGTGATGTCACTAATAAATAATTAGATTATCTCATTTTACACAGAAATAACCAAGATTTTCCTGATGAAAATAATTGATGAATTTTCTTCTCCAAGATTATTCTGCTCTCAATTTTATTATATTAAAGAAGGGAGATTCAGAAATTTCTTAATTATTTTATCTACTTTCTCCACTTATTGGAGATTAATATTACTTCAAAACCTATCTGTTGGAACTGAAACTTACAAAAATGATATAATTAGTTATAATTTAAAGAAAAAGTTTAAATATATTTATAGTCATACGAATAAATTAGGTCAATTCTCAAGTTCCTTTCCAGGTCTGTGCTTCTTTAAGGGAGGGAGGATGAAAGGGAAAGAAGAAAGGAGAAAAGAATAAACCAGAAATTATGAAATGCTTCCATTTTTTCCTTTTTATTTAATAAAATTTTAAATAAGCCTCCTTTCCTTCATTTTTCAAATTGTACCCTACCAGTAAGTGGAGTTTGTTTCTGCATGCCCAGAACACTATTTTGTGATTTCTTTTACTTATTTTTTTTTCCCTGAAAAATTTAACTGTCTCTGAACAGAGGTCAGTGGTTTTCTTTGTATGTGTACATGTGGATATCTTGATGCCATTTGGGGGCCTGTGTATGGAAAAGGGAAATATTATAATTTCTTTTCAGTAGAAAATGAAAACAAATATAAAAATAAATGAGACATAATATGAAGGATATGGGTGGACTATGTCTAAAGTCAGGAGCAGGTTCAAATACATGTTGCTTGGTTTGTTTGGTTTTTTTTAAAAAATTTTTGTATTTGAATCCGCTTAAAACCATATGCAGTGCTTGGAATGGGAAAATAAGCACATTTCACATTGGAAAACATGATTAAAAATGTGCATAGGAACCAAATTGTGATTGTTCTCTCTCATTCTAGCTTCCATAGAGTGGAAGCTATAGGAGTTTGACCAATACGTCCAGCCACTGCTGGTAGAACGCTCTAATTTCTTCTAAATAGAGACCTTAGTGAACAGCTGTCTTGTGCTTATTTTCATCTAACATGCATGTGCCGCATCTCATGTTGGTTATGTTTGCTGTCTCACATTGCTTTATTTAGATGCCATCTAACAACAGTATCAGAAAACAAATAGAAACACTCCAGGTGAGTTATCGTATTGAAGTTTTAAAGTTAAGATATTGCTTTGTTGTCCATCTGTGCAGCATTTTGTTCTCTGCCCATTGTTGCGTTGCATGTCTACTTTGTTTAAATGCTGCTTCGAGCAACGTCCAAGGGAAACAGCTCCTGCTAGTTATCAACTTCAGCTTCTTCACAGAACAAAACTGTAATATTTAGAGAACAGACGAGTTTAAAAGAAGGAGCTAATGCTCAATAAAAAAACAGAAAACATCAAAAACGACCTTGTACTGGTTCACAGTTTGCTTATTTCCTTCTGTTTATTTCAGGCCAATTATATGTGATCAAACTGACAGGTTTTTTTTTTTTTCTCATAAAAATTAGAATTGATTTCTTATTAGAAGTTTCATATAAATTGATACTTTAGACTTGTATCATTGCCTTTTGAAATTTTTAACATTGCGTGACAGGTAATTCACCAAACACAAAAGAATGACTGTGATAGATACATAAATAAATATATAAAATTTATATATAAATATCACTTCAGACTTTTGTAAACTACCTTTACTAAAAGGAAACTTACAGGTCATACAAAACATGTAAAAAGTATAAATACAAAATAATTTCAGGAGGGAACAGAAGCTTTTAGGAGACAACAACAAGGGAAGGCCATGTGTAGGAGGAGGCACTTTGGCTGTACTTTGAGACAGGCTGCAGATTTTAAGAAGCAGAGATGGGATGGGGGGGACAGGCATGAGGGATAGCCTATGCAAAGGCATGTGATCAGGATATCCAATGTTGTGTGTGTGAAGAACAGCACGGATTCCAGTTTGACTGAGTATGTGAATATTAATAAAATGAAACAAGTCTGGAAAGGTATGTAGGAGCCAGTCTCTAACAATATAAACAGAAGCTGAGGGCTTTGTATTTTATCCTAGAGGCAGTAGGGAGCTACTGAAGATGCTTGAGAAAGGGAGTGACATACATAGATTTGTGCTTTTGGTAGCTATGTGGAGGATGCATTGGACAGGTGAGAGAGACTAGATGCAGGGAGATAATTTCAGAAGTTATTTCAGTAATTCAGGTGATTCAGACCTAAATTGTAGTAGGAGTCACTTTAATAAAGAGAAGGGAGCTGATGTGAGACATAACATGAAGGGAGAATTAACAAGACTTGGGAGCTGATTATATGGGGTTGGGGGTAGGGCAAATCAAGAGTACAATTAACTTAGCCAAGGTCACACAGACAAGAAGAGGCAGGGCCAGGGCTTCAAACTAGATCCTCAACTCCGAAGCCAGTAAACTTTCTTCTATACCAGGCCTGAATATCCTGCAGTCCTCAGGCTGTTTATGGCTCTCTGGCCACTTGCAGCAAGCCAACTGATTTCTAGTGGCCCATGAAAAATGTAGAAGAAAACATTCTTTGTATGTAGAGGAAATCCTTTGGCAGGTCACAGGTTGTGCAGGCCTGCTCTATACCGTAATGCCTTATTCAGATTACTTAAAACTAACTTTTCAAGCAGCCCAGGAATTTAAGATTTCCTTTACAATTAAGTATTAGATAGTCTCAATATAAAGTATTGTTTTCTATTTATTAAAGCATGTTTTAAAATTTTTTATCTAGCTCCATTTTATAATTTTTAATCATTTGCTTTTTCAAGTGACCAAATATACTTAATAGAAAGTAGATTTCTTTAAAAAAAAAAGTTGTTATCAAATAGATTGGCTTTCCCTGACAGCTAATTTCAAATATATCATGTTTTAACTGTATTTTAGGGGGAAGTGAGTTACTTTAATGAAGAAAAAAATCCCCTTCTGAGTTCCTTTCTTATAGAAAAGAACTTGTTAGAAAGATGTCATGGAATTTTGAATTCAGATCATGATGATGAAAAAGTCAGGATAGTGTGTATTCCCCATTATCCATTTCCCATTTAGTACTTTTTATTTGAGATACTTCATTTCAGCTTAGAGCTGAAATATGTGCAGTATATTAACATATGTATTTATGTATATTATATATTTATATTATTTGTATGCATATAGATTATATAAATCAGATAGATACCTGTGTTTTCTTTATTGTAGTGAACTCTTTGCATGAAAACTACTTCAACCAGTCCATACTGGCAAACTTATCTGTAACTTATAGTCTTAAAAAGCTATTTTGGGCACTGAGAAGTTCAGCAATCTCCAGGAGGAACCATGGGGCAGATACATAACTAATATGTGTCAGGGCAGGATTTGAATCTAGGTTTTTCTGATTTCAAAGTCAGCACATTCTTCACTATGCCATACTTGAGTGTCGTGTGTGTGTGTGTGTGTGTGTGTGTGTGTGTGTGTGTGTGTGTGTG